GAGCACTTTTATTTTTTGCCTTGTTGTGTTGCTTATTGTGATTGTTTCCGACGTTAGTTGACAAAGTAGATGGAGTACTTGGAGAAGGACTAGAAGACTTGAAGACTCTGATGAACCAGGCAAGCAGCCCTTTAACCATGACACCCCTCTTGTTCATCGGTACCCTTTTTCCGATTGCATGATGATGAAATATGACGGTGGTAAACTTGTTGTGAACCACCACATGATGCATACCCGTACTCATGACTTTACCTTGTTCATGAATGGAATGTCAAAAGACTAGTTGATGCATAATGATGCATGTGTACCATGAACTCTTCATGGTTACATTCTTTCGAAAACCCCATCGGGTGCCCCTAATGCCCTTGGGAGATGTTGAACTAAGGTCACCACTTGAGGAAGAAGTGGTGTACCAAAGAGAGCTTTTGGTGTGTGTGCAAAATGATGGATTAGATTTATGTGTGATTACTGTCCCAACCAAACATGTGCAACCACTCTACCCCTTTATGGGACGGGGCATTATTGATTACTTAGACTGATACTAACATGGTGCCCACATTACTAGTGATGGGGGTGACTTGAGGTCGCTCTCGAGACGAGGTCGTGCTTGGATAGGCAGCCATGACCGTTTTCACAGGGCACCGGACACACCGTTGGTCCCTTCGTGTATGCGTGATAATGTAAAAAGGGCAGAGTCCCACGATCTTTTGCTTATACACGAGGGCAGTGTATCAAACGAGTGGATCCTATGTTAGTGTTGTCTAGGGAAAGGTAATGATCGGGTGCTTCCCTCGAGTACTTGAGGTACTGCGGGGTCGTGGATGACACGAAAGCTTCCCGGTTCTTGTGGGTAAAGTGCACAACCTCTGCAGAGTGTCAAACTATTCTAATAGCCGTGTCCACGGTCAAGGACAATTGGGTGGTGCTACTTAAACTATGTCCAGAACTTTACAAACTTGGTATGTGGGTCAAGTAAAGACTTCACGTGTTGGTTAAACTAGAGTTGTTCTAAACTCTATTTATGTTGATATTTGTAACCTGTTCTCATGGTTACTTGAATTCTCCTGATGCATGTCTTACCAGTTGTTGAACATGTCAGTGCACTCAAAACTAGCTTTCTGCAAAATGACCTACTTAGTGCTATATCATGCATTGTTGTTCCTTGTTTCAAAACATGGGTTGCTTGCGAGTACATTCAAAGTACTCATTGGCTTGCCACTTGTTATTTTATTGGCCAGGCATGAGAGAACAGGATGTAAAGAAGAATACCTTGGTGACGAGCATGCGAGCTAGGACGCTCCCAGTCAGAATTCCTATATGGTTAAGGTAGATGGCATGGGTTCAAGTTATCCACGAAGATTCCTGTTGCGTTGTTATACTCAAGGCTTGACCATAATGGTCATAATTTATGTAAGACGTTATGTATGGATGTAAGACTCTTGTTATTCAGCTTATGTGTGTTCAGTGAGCATTGATCTCTGGGATCACTGTACACGTGCATTCAGTGATCACGACTTATGAGTCGGGGTCCCCACACTTCTGCTCCTGCATTGCCAAAAGAATCTAGATCGATAAAGGTATATCATTTTCATCACCCCTTTAGGTATCTCAAAAAGAGTAGCATGAACATTGGTAGACTAGTAAGGGCAACGTTGATGAGGGTAAGTTGTCCTCCATATGACAACTTCCAACTGTTGAGCTTCTTTTTCAAGCGGTCCTCAATAATTGTTCATTTTTTGGTGAGCTTGCGTCGATGAATAGGGATCCCGAGGTATGTGAACGGTATAGATCCCACCTCATAGCCAAATAGTTTCCTGTACGGGCTCTCCTCCTCTTTGGCCTTACCAAATTTGAAGAGGTTACCTTATGGAAATTAATTTTAGAGTGAAGTGCATCCTAGGTCCTTGAACTGTTTCGAAGGTGTCATGTAGGTTATCAAACTATGAAAGTGTCATCTAGGTCCTTAAAATCCTTGAAGTGTAATAAGTGTGTGTGTATATATATGACACCTCTAAAATAGTTCTAGGAACTATGATGCACTTCACCCTTAATTTTAAGACCCAAAAGTTGTTTGAAAAGATACAAGCATATTACTCACCTTTTGAATATCATGTTTCATAAAGATGATAGTGTCATCTGTATACTAGAGGATAACACACCTCCATCAACCAGGTGTAAGATAAGGCCACCAACCTGAGAATGCTCCTTAGTCCTTGCTATGATAATAGCCAACTATCTGCCATAGTGTTTAATAAGATTGGCGACATGGGATCCCCTTGCCTCAATCCCTTAAGGGTTTGGAAATAATGACTGATGTCATCGTTGGCCTTAACCCCAACACTCCCACCCTGGATGTAAGAAGCCACTTGCTTCCACCATTCAGTCGCAAAATGCGAACGGCTCGTTCAAGAAAACATCACTTTACTTTGTCGTAGGCCTTTTTAAAGTCCACCTTAAAGATTACTCATTGAGTTTCTTAGTGTGAAGCTCATGGATCATCTGATGAAGGACAACCACTCCCTCAAGAATATTGTGACCAGGCATAAAGCCAGGCAGCATTGGGCGCACGACCGTATGAGAAGAGTAGTAGACAATCTTTTAGTGCTCACCCTTGTGAAGATTTTAAAACTGACGTTGAACAAGAAGATTGGTCAAAATTTCTCAATCCGTACCACATCCACTTTCTTTGGTAAAAGAGTGATAATTCCAAAATTGAGACGAAATAATGAAAGATCACCATTATATAAGTCCTCAAACATTGAAAGAAGATCAACCTTAATGATCCCCGAACATTTCTGATAGAACTCAGTGAGGGATGGTTTTTTTAGGATACTGGAGCTATTGGAGTTACTCTAAGTTCATCTTTGAACTACTTTTTCTATCAATAAGTGTACTTTACCAACTAAAAAGGTGTACTTCAGGCTTCAGGTGATTAAATCAGTGGGGGACCTAGAAACTAAGTACTAGAGGTGCCAAACATCATCCTTTTCGAGTAGTTCTGCTAAAGTCATTTTAGTTTATCCTTTCTCTTAAGGTATGATGAGATTTCAGGTCACAAAGCCTTTTTTAAGAAAGATAGGAAATCCAATGGTGTAAGTTGTTTATCGTACTGAGTTCGTACAAGATTCATCATATGCGTAACATTGCTCTTTTGTAGGGGTCCATCCATGGATTATATTGCATTTAAAATGGAACTCCGGTGCATGGTGCCATGGTTCAAAGTGCATGTTTACATATTTAGGTAGGTGCGAACCAATCTATGGTTAGATAGTTAGAAGGACAGTGATTTCCCAGCCCAGCAGGGTTAAATCTTGATGCTCACATTATTCTTGGATTTATTTTAGGATTTCTGGTGATGCACGTTCATTGGGAGGGGATATTCACATCGACTACGAGGCGCCTGTGATGACTTCGTCAATGTCAAGATGATATGTCGGTTTGCCGGCGACTCCAGGGCTGCAATGGAGCGCTTGCTGGTTCCGACGGTGATGTAGCGAGCTCGCGAGCTAGCAGCATCCACCCGGTCCGCGCTCGTGCTTTTTTGCTTTGCATATCATGTGTTGCGGGAGACATGGGGGAGAACGAAGTAGCAATATTCTTGCTCGCGCGTTGACGGCCACGCTGCATCAAACCACGACGATCAGATGGCCACCTACCCGACTGATTTCCCTCGGCCTCCTCTCCTAAACACATATCAGGCGAGATGCACGCAGGTGGGGG